CGGGGTGGTAGGGACACAAGCTTGGGAGATCCAGAATATTCTCGCCTCGTGGCCGCCGTCGTGAGAACGCTCTCTCCCGATCTCCGATGGAAAGCGGCACGGTAGCACCAACGTGGTCGCGCATTATCCGATTTCGCAGTCTTAGTGCCTACGACCAACCCCGAACATTGAGGAGGCCAATATAAACACGGCCGACAGTGTTCCGGAGGCACGGGACCGTGTGTCGTTATCGAGGATGCGTCCAACGACAGTAAAACGACGATAATATTCATAACATATGATCCCAATGTATCCCCACTATCGGGTGACAACAAGGTAAACATTAGACAGAATTAGTAAGAGAAAACAGTGAGTATCACCCTAGCGTCTTACTTCTCCACGTTGCGTAAAACAAAACAGCGGGATATCGTCGTGCGCGCCAAGAGAAGACAGAGGTGTGATATACGCAGAAGAGAGGAGTAAGGAGAGTGTTGAGCCATATGCCGCCAGCCGGGCTATCGGCAAGAGGCTTGTCTACCTTGATGGACCACGGACAACCAGATGCTCGTCATCGGAGCGAGCGTTTCCTACTCTACTCAGAGAATGGCTCCTCACATCCGCATAGTCCCAACACGGCCAACTCATCGCCACGGTATCAGTACAACAGCAGAACCAATAGTCATACCACTAGGTAAAAAGGATAGAATCTGACATCTACAGGTATTGTATCTATTAGTAACTTGTGCATTCGACGATTTCTTCTTGCAGTTACGGGTCCATATATGGACGTACATCTAGCAACAATATGTCTGATAGCAGCGTTTCTGACACGCATAGTGGCGGAACTGCTAGAACTGTCTCTCAACAAACTAGTCCATCCCACGGCACACATTCCTCTTCTCAGTCGCGGCAGGACAACAGCATCACTATTTTCACAGCCCTCTTTGATTATGTCGCTCAGGGTGAAGACGAATTATCCCTGCAGAGAGGAGAAACTGTTGAGGTGACTTATGATCGAATTCAATTGGATGCATTCAGTATGTACATTAAAGCCATCATATACAAATTGACATAAAATGTGTGTTAGTAAATGTAAATATAAAAAAAAATTAATCGTTAATATGTTTTATTATGCTATCAAGTAAAAATCTATATTTTATAATTCAAAATTTTACATTTATGCAGATTAAATCAGTGCACAACGGCTTTAATATGTACAAGTGCCAAGGTTGATAAAGATTAATGTTTGTTTTTAAAAATAAAACATGTTTCTTTTTAAATATGTTTTTAATGCTTCAAATATGCTTTAAACAGTATTATAAAAAAAAAACACATATTAAAAACATTAACTAAATTTTAAACTATTTAAAACACGTTTAGAACATATTTTTTACCAACCCTGACAAGTGCATACTAGTGCATCAAACTAAATTCGCTATTATTTTTATATATCATGTAATTGTTATAGCATAATACTATTATAGCAATATACTATTTTCATAAGAGAATACAATATTGTGTTATATTGTTGTTATTATTATTATTATTATTATTATTATTATTATTATTATTATTATTATTATTATTATTAACTCCAACAGGTTTTATCGAAGGACGCCAAAATCTCGGGTGACGAAGGATGGTGGACTGGAAAAATTCGTGGAAAAGTGGGAATTTTTCCGGCAAATTTTGTCGCAGAGGCAGAAAGCATCGACCGAGTTTCGTCGGTGATCGATAAAGTCCAACCGATTGAGATCGACTTCGAGGAGTTGCAATTGGAAGAAGTTATAGGTGTCGGAGGATTTGGAAAAGTATACAGGTATATGTACAAACTAATTTATAAAATGCAATATCATTATTTTTAAAAAAATGTTTTATAAAAAGAATACCGATATATTGATTCTAAAGCACTCTAAAAATAGTTTCAAGCTTTATATAAATTCCATCGCGAAAGTCTTCTTTAATAAATTTGTTTATCATTTCTAGGGGCTTTTGGAAAAAACGCGAAGTTGCTGTGAAGGCTGCACGCCAAGATGCAGGCGAGGAACCTAGTGCAACATTAGAAAACGTACGACAAGAAGCAAAACTATTCTGGTTGTTAAAACATGAAAATATTGTGCAATTGGAAGGAGTGTGTTTAAAGATGCCCAATATGTGTCTTGTGATGGAGTATGCGCGTGGCGGCAGTCTTAACAGAGTTCTCAGCGGCAGGAAAATAAGACCCGATGTGTTAGTCGATTGGGCGATACAGATTGCGAGAGGAATGGATTATCTTCATAATAAAGCTCCAATAAGTCTTATTCACAGGGATCTAAAAAGTTCTAACGGTAAGATATTTTGATATTAATGATGATAACTATATTTAGTAATAAAACAAATTGTATTTTTATTGTAAATAACTTTTTTATATCGACAGTATTACTAAGTGAACCGATTGAAAATGACGACTTCCAATACAAAACTCTAAAGATCACGGACTTCGGTTTGGCGAGGGAAGTTTACAAAACGACTCGTATGTCTGCGGCGGGCACATATGCCTGGATGGCGCCGGAAGTTATTAAAAAGAGTACTTTTAGCAAAGCCAGTGATGTATGGAGGTCAGTTCTAAAATTATCAGATTTATTATTATAAAATTGCAATTAGCATTTAACCATGTTCCATTGCACTTGTAAGCATCATTTACTCTTTATATTTAATATTTGATAAACAAGGATGAAATGATGCTTGCAGTGTATTAGTATGAAAACGGAACACATCCTACATTATTCTTCTACTATTTTTTTAAACTTGATTACTCGCATGAGATGTTTCTAACATCTTCTGACTTCTATATTATATCTCAATTATTATTGTTCTCTTTGATGATTTACAATTAAATAAATATTGGTAATATTCTATACTTTAAAGATAAATGTAAATAAATTTTAATTGTGAAACAATTTGTACTAAATGTAATAATGTGCATAAATAATATTTATACATTTAATGATTTTGTATAAAATCAGTCTTAGACATCCCACGCAAATAATGAAATTAAAGAAAATAATTTTTTTTTATTATTTTTTAAGTGTGCTTGCTTTCCATTAAAATATTTGAAATATTTATTGATTATATGTAGCTATGGCGTGTTACTGTGGGAACTTTTGACTGGGGAAACGCCGTATAAGGGTATCGATGCTTTGGCTGTAGCATATGGTGTCGCCGTCAATAAACTAACTCTACCTATTCCATCTACCTGTCCTCAACCATGGAGTCTTCTTATGGAAGGTAAAAAAATTCGTAAATAAGCTGTTCTTTCTGAAATATTATATACGCGTCTTGGAGGAATATAATACTAAAAATGATCACAGCATGTTGGGCATCGGATAGTCATGCTCGACCGGGATTCACGGATATTTTAATCGCTTTGGACGAAGTGCGCAGTGCATTCGCGGCAACGCCACATGAATCTTTTCACACAATGCAAGAAGATTGGAGGCAAGAGATTGAACAAGTTCTGCATGGATTGCGCATGAAGGAAAAGGTATATGTATAGGTATTTAATAGGACACGCTAATTATTTATACATTCATGTATTAAATTATGATATCTCCATATATTAACGGTCATAATGGTGTAAATTATTATTTTTAAATTATATATGTATATATGTACATGTGATATAAATATGCATAATGAATAATATTTCCAATCGTTATTTTAAATGCTTTGCAAAGGCATGCCGTTCTTTAGAAGAGGTAAGACAAAAGAGTTGATTAAGATATTATTGTTATAGAAAGAATTACACGTTCATTTTTTTTTATTTTCTATTAAGTAAAAATACATCTAATTATGGTAAAATAAAATACAATTATGTTATTTTGAATAAATTAAAGTCTGACATATTTCTTTTGCTCACAAGGAGCTGCGCTGTAGAGAAGAGGAACTGACAAAAGCACAGGTGCAACAGAGACAGCACGAGGAAAATTTGAGACAGCGAGAACAGGAATTAGCTGCGCGCGAGATAGCTATCTTAGAGAGAGAGCTCACCGTGATGATCATTCAACAGCAAAACACGCCTACGCCAAACAAGAGACGCGGCAAATTTAAGAAGTCGCGATTAAAATTAAATAAAAAGGAACCTGGGAGCAACATTAGTGCTCCTTCGGGTAAGAATATTTTTACTTTTTTTTTTACTTTATTATGTTTAATTATTTACTTTATTATGTTGCAATCTATATCGTGCAATCAACGGATTTCTTACAAATTTTATCGATAAATTATTATATTCTCTGCTTGGAATATACATAAAAATAGAATTGTAAATCAATTTTGAATGTATTGTTTAGATTTTCGTCACACGATCACCGTTCAGGACACGGCCTTAGATCGAGGTAAAGTGAGGAATCCATCGAGACCGAATAGTCCACCTGGATCACCTAGCATTCCGAGGCTCAGAGCGATCGCATGTGAGTAGTCTTTTACTTTGAAATACCGCTTCTAGTAGTACCGTGATTATGATAATGTACTATGCAATATGAGTGACTTTACGAGCGAGTCAAACGTATTGGAATTGTAATCGAATAATTTGAGTGTAACACTGTTTGTTCGTGGTAGACACTTTGTATTTTTATTCGTGTCGATATATATTTTTTTCGGCATGGTGTGCACAATTATTGTTTTTATATATGAATACTCTTCCATTTTATTTTCTATTCTTTGCAAAGATCACGATTACTTTGAGCTAATGTATTACCATAGTATATACTTATAAATTGCTGAAATTAGCGTGCACAGTTATATCGTTTGACAGTCGCTTTACGAAGAGTATATCCGTAAAGAAGCTTTACCTCCGCGCCGAATAAACGAAAGAGATGAGAAGAGTAGTTAGTAGTATCGTAGTGAGTAGCACTTTGTTTCTTTTTCTTTCCCCGTTTAGTACCGGCGGACGGAGTTAAGGGTAAGACATGGGGACCGTCGACGCTACATCAACGTGAGCGCGGGGCTATTATCACTCAGCCGCCGAATCCCGCCTCTCCTGGCGGCAAACGCTGGTCCCGTTCCGCGCCAGATCTCGAAAAGACACCTCTGCGTACAGCCCTGTTGGCGAGCGCGCATCGCTCCCCGCTTCTGCAGGAAATAGGTAACCCTACCACCAAAAAATTGTACTCCTCGGCCAATAACCTGATAGACAATCAGCCAGGATGTAGTAGCTATAACGATATGCCGCAAAACTCGCTTGACATCGTGCTGGGCGCGTACTGCGCGCCTTGCAACATAGGCGAGGACTTTGTCATTCTGGACAACGACATATACGAGTCTGTAGTTGTGCATAACAAAAATCCCCCGAATAATCTTAAAGCCCACTTCTCAGAGGAGCCTTCGATAATCAACGATGATTACCCAAAAACGGTGGGTCATCGCGCGGCCGCTACAGTTTCGAAAGCTACGTCACCCAAGTGCCAAAAGCTGCCCGAGTGGGAGCCCTCGTACTCCACGAATTTCGTGCAGAACGTGGCATCCACTCTGGTGGGTACCGCGAAGCGGGTCAAGAGTAAGAAGCGCGAAAGGAGTAAATCGAAGGAGTCGAAGCGCAGGGACAGTTCGGAATCGCGGCTGGCGTCCCTAGCTGATTTCTTCCGGTCGCCATCCGGCTCGCGTAAGAGCTCCCTGAATTCACCGCGTAGCGGCGAGAGAAAGAATTCGGTAACTATCAAAATTAATGACTACGACGGTCTGGAATCGAGTCCCGAGAATTCTATCGGCGGCAAAAGCCAGCAGTCTCAGCACAAGTCGCGCCTTTCCAAGAGTCCGCTGAGGGTATTGAACAAAATGAAGACGTGGGGCAGTCGGGACGCGCTCGACGACAAAACCGCTATGGTTAAAGTGGAGTACAGCGTCCTGGAAAACGTCATATCTATACCGCAACTAAGCCATCGCGATTCGAGTGAGCAGATATTGGCCAACGTCAGTGTCTCAGTGCCTAGATTTCTCGCGGCGAACTCACGCGAAGGAATAGACTTCGAGAGTCTCGAATCGGAATTGTGCAATTTCGATTCGGAGCATTCGAACGACAGCTCGAGGTCAAAGAGCTCGTTGGGACCGTATCACGAGACGACAGGCTCCAGGCATAAAAGATCACCGATCGCATTCGAATTGGACGCGTCGCCTGCGAAACCGGTCACCGCCGCGTACCGTTTAGATCACGGCATCGAGATGAATTCCTTTTTACATCACAAGTCCAGAAGTAACGAATACTTGCGCAGCTGCGACGGCGACAGCGTCGCGCAAACGTCGCCTGGTGACCTTCAAGAGGGAAACGATCGTCAGAGCCCGCGTGCCAATTACAGTCCAAAGAGAAGTCTGCCCGCGTCTCCCCCGGATCATGCCAATCTCTGTCGCTCGCCCTCCGAAGATGCTGATGTCGTGTCTAAGAATTTCGCTGGCGAACAATTTTCGAGAAAGGGTGACAAGTAATCGCGCGCGGCTTCGACGAAACGGATGTACTCCCGTGACTTTTTTATACAGGGCGTTCCGTGGCGTGTCCGCGCTGTTTCTCTTAATTCCAAAATTCGGATCCACTTCCCTTTTTTGGGACACGCGTGCATAGTATCCGTGATTAATTACAAAAGAAGCGCGGCCGAATTACGAATGCCCTGTATTCGACGAGAACGCAAGTAGAGCCTGCAGCTCGAAACGCATTTCGGATGGCATGCCTCCTTATCCGCCGCACTTTTCTCCTTACATGGTATTTTGAATGACTTCGTACTGATCGTGTGTTTCTATTCTATCGCAGGCCTCTCTGAGGAAAGCATCTACCATACCCGTAAGTTTTCTCTTCACGCAACGTTGTTAATGTCGTATTTCACTGTCTCCTCCTCCTATTTCCTTCTACTTAGACTTTTACTCCGAACTTTATTCTTTTCTTTCCTCTCTCTTTTTTTTTTTACCGAATGACGGTTTGTATTGCGTATTGTAAAGCTAAGGCAAGGATCTCAAAGTAGACAATGTCTTTTTACTTTCATAACTGAACGAAACTTTTGCTATGAAGCCTCCTTATTACGTAGTTATTAGTTAGTGCTTAGTGGTTGATCACATAATGATAATGCATGTGTACACCGATCTTTTTTTCATTGTCTCTATCAATTTCGTTTGTGGATGACGCAATTAGATTTTGTTCTGGATGAACTGTACAGACTTCTCGTGGATCGAGCGATACTTTTGTTGCCCCGCTGTGTCTCGCGTCCAATATATAATGTATTCCCAGATCATTTTATCGGGATGGGACTTGGTCTCCTATGCAGCGTGAACTTATTCAGACTTGCGAGGTGGTTTGGATTAGATTCGATAAGGGACCAGATTTAGAAATTTAAGTTAATCCCCCTCTCCCCTGCTCTATGACGAGAAACGCGAAGAAGCTGGTGCATTCGAGAGCCCAAAGTTGCCTCGAGAGACGGAATTGAAGGTACATTTAAGCGATGAAACCAAATCCTTAAAACGTTTATACAAAGGGCACGGACTCGTTTCTTTTCTTTTTTTTTGTATCCTCACCCTTCCCACGCGCTATATAATTTACGAATTATTTATCCTAATTTAAGCCGATGTGATACTCGTAGTCCGAGTAAGCTAAAATCTAATAAGAATATTAAAAAAAATATATATTATATATGTATATGTATACACACAGTCTTTCTGGTGTTGGTTCTTTTCTGATATTTATCTGGAAGACATAACATTTCTAACAAGCAGATCTAACAGCCCACTACTACGCGAAAGAGAGTCACACGCTTCGTCTATTACCGCAAAGTTCAATTTTAACGGTACTTTTACATTGGAGCGTTGTCAAGGTTGTATATCTGCATAGTCATAATTTTATCAAACGAAACAAAAAATCAAAATTACATCACATATATATATATTGTATAGATATATGAAGAGAGAGAGAGAGAGAGAGAGAGAGAGAGAGAGAGAGAGAGAGAGAGAGAGAGA